TGATTTATAATTAGGATGGATCTAAACCGAGGTTCACTCCGGAAGTGAAAACCTTGAGAGAAGCGAGGCTGAGTGGAATTCAATTGCATCATGATTCCTACGCATTTCATTAAGGTAAATTCAAATATTAGACCTTAAAACATCTTACGCGACCTAGAATGACTAATTATTATTTAAATAAAACTGTTTATCCACTAAGGGAATTCTCTAGTTCGCCCCAACTTAATATTCCAGCCAATTAACAGTAGCGTTTGTAAGTTTATGAGATTAAAAATAGTAAAACTGTTCGAATAAGCCTCTTGATTTAAATTCAAACATAAGACAGAATAACAATATTTGTAGACGCACTATCACCAACTTGAAAACTAAGTAGCTAGTACTAGGATTGCACAAATGTTTAAATATAGATGCATGGCAATAACTATACTGTTAGAAATTATATGTTTGCTATTATTAGTATCACTAATGTATTACTGGACTAGGGAGCGAATTATCAAGAAAGCGATGATGGTTAAACAATAATTCATGTACGATTAGTTGAGTTACATACATTTTAGTTGTCAGCTAATCACATCACAATAGGGTTAGTTGAGGTAGATTTAAATTCAAAATAGGATGAAAAAGTTTTAAAAACAGCTAAGGATAAACTCTTAACACAGGATTAACATAGGTTACTAAATTACGATTAAGAAATGCACTTATGGGAATAAAATTATCACAAGGTTTTTTATGAAATTAATCTTAGTAATAAAGCTAGCAAAATTCGTAAATTTGAACCCAAAAGTATAGTACTGAGTTAATATGTCATAAGGAATCCAAGATTCCCCCAAAAAAAGATTAAAAGTCTAATTATGATTAGAGATCAAATATGAGAGTAAATGAGGCAGCTTAAGCAGCTTTTAATGGGATTTGGTTGCTAATCAAATATCCAATGACCTTGGATTTGTAATCAGGTCTAAAATCTACCACTATAAAGTTGCTCAGCATTATTATCTAGCCAAGTAAGGCTGTAGAAATGGGCCTTTCGATTATATTCATCTATACAACACCGTACCATCAGCTCCTGAAAATAGGCGCCGATCTGTGTTGAATTGCAAAAGATTACGCTGCATAGGGTTTAGCAATATGATGCTGTTATTCGGCTTTAGCTTAATTTTCAATCATGATTTGGCCAGTTAGCTTAGATGGATAAATATTGCAAAGCTAAATTCTAAAGTTTGGTAGCGTACCCAATATTTCTTCATAATAGATCATCTCAACTAGACATTCGCTCAATCTTCTACGAATGCCAGTTGTTAGCAAACGATCTAAATGAAATCCATTTACGAGCTCTTTTGGACCATTAGAGCATTCAATGTTCTGCGTTTCTTGTCTTACTGCATCCGCCTGGGAGGTAACGCAGTTATTTCTAGCTTCCACCGATGCCGGACTAGGACCAATATTAATAAAACTAGCCAGAGTTGACTTGAGGGTCAAATTGAGAAAGGATGGCCCAAGTGGAGAAGAGCAAGAGGAATGAAATTCACTGGATAAGGCAGAGCGCAACTTTGGCGATTCGGAGGATGGCCAGCTGGCCAAAAGGAGGCCTGCGAGAAAGCGCTGCATGGCAAGTCGTTGAGATAGATGAGTATTAATCAGAACCTGGCCAACCAAATATTCTGCAGGACTAAGTAGACTTCCTCTCTTAGCTAGCTCTGCATCCTTGCATGTTGCTAGATCTTGATAAGATAATTCCTCTACTGCGACTGCCTGCTCATTGTATCCATGTTTTGGCCAAAGCACCTTTTCAGAAGCAGCATTAGCTTTATCATCGGGGCTAATGACGATAGCTTGGTCTACTGTCGTCTGCGGATTGAACGTAATAGTACTGCTAGAAAGCCTATAAAAGAGACGAGACAACAAACTAGGGGAGGAGCAAGGGAGGACATATTTGAAGGGAAAAACATAAATTCATAATAAAATGAAAAGTGAACGTAAAAAATATAATTATAAATGGAATATAGAATACATATATAAGTTCATATTGCTGGTGACCCATCCATATTCATCTTGACTACATTGGTTGCTTATTTGACATAACATTAACCTTTATTTCCCAACGCCTTTGCATTTTACACAAATACTACTTATGAATAACTATTATCCTGACAAATCAGTCAGGTGATCAACCGTACTATAGATGTAACGAGTCTACCTTTGGGCCTATCACTAAGTGACCTCTGGCACCAAGCTAAGTCAGCCGCTCTCAAACCACCATATAAGAGGGCACTCACATCGCGCAATGTATTAGAAGTTATTCAGCAAGTTATACTAACTGAATTGACGTATACACAGCAAAATCACCTAAGTAACAAAAGCTCTTGTTACCGCCCAACGTGCTCACTCCTAGATCAGCGTCTTGCCTCAGTTTTGTGAAAGCCAAGCGGGGCAACTCCAGTTACAGTGATGTATAGTCAATTGGTTCAACTTGTATCCTGGATGTTGATCATCGCGAGCCGCATAACGTATGCCACGCCTTTTCTACCACACATATATATATCTGCAATATATTGAAGCTGGTGGCACCTAAAACAAGGAGGGTCGCATTCACCTAGTGTCTGTGCAAAGTTCACGAACGAACGTACTGCTCTGTTCACGTCTACAACACCATTTTTGCTAGGTGGGGATTTTGTTGACACTAAAACAATGACCAGTCTTTACGTTCAGCCTCTTCACAGCCTCCCATCATAGCGTCTATTCCTGGTAGATACACAACTCCAGCGCTCAGTTTGTTACCTTTTTTCCTTCTCACTAGTCCTTTATGAATCTTAAGATAGAAACAGCCTCCGTAGTACAACCATCTAACCCTGTACACTCGATCCTCATGCAATCCCTACTTCATATCTCTAGTATTCTACCTTAGTTAACGGCATCAGAAAGGGCATATCGTAATACACGTCTGAGTTGAATCATGTAAATGCTAGCAAAATCTTGAACATAAAAATTACCATGGAAGATTAAAATAAAGTCAACAATTATACAAATAATGCCTTTAGAGTCTGCTATCATAAGTCAGCCTAACTTACAACAAGGCATCAAAAAACTATTCCTGAAAATAGCATACGTAGTTTGTATAGATACAGAGAAGTATCAAGAGTACAGTAAACAGCCAAAAATGAAATAAAGAACATTTAG